CCAATATAATTAGCACAATGCAAACTATAATCCTAACTCACCCGCAGGGTATGTGTCTGACACTTTTTGAATGAAATGATCAGTATTTTAATTTATTTAATTGTCCTTTCAGAAATCTGTTGGGTAAAGTAAGTACTAACAGCCTCTGAGATCTTTGGGGAATATTTGCAGTACTTAGTCAAATAATTAAGGTGGTAAACGTGGACTGGAGAATATCTTTTCCTCACAGACGCGGTTGTATAAATGGCCCCAGTATCACATGATTGTTAAAGTCATTAGTTTAGCCCTAGAAAAATGGCCTAATTCTATGTATATTATAAATATTCTGACATTATCTGACTTAAGTTCCTTCTTGTCTCACGATGTACTGTTTTCATTGTCATTGTTAGTTTTATGTCACAATGCAGGATGCCTTTTGAACACTGGCATGTCTTGTGTAAATATATGCTCTGGCATTTTGACAAACCTAGCTTTAGTGGTGGGAGAGTTACTCACTTCAAAGTAAGCAATACTGTCATCTCAAAATACTGTTACAAGTAAGGGTCCCTGCATTTAAAGTTATACATCAGTAAAGAACACAAATATATAAACACATACTTTAAATACCAAAAGTATAATAACTGATATTCTATATGACCCATTTCTGAATAATATTAGAAGAATGAAAGTTGTTATATTAAAAATACTCTAAGTGTAAAGTACCTGAGAACTACATTCCTAGCTTACTGTATGTGAAAACAAAAACAAAGTTTGTTCTGTAATGAACACTAACACTATTCGGTCATAAGCCCTCTGAATGGACATTGTTCTTTAATTACCAGTATTATGTAATGTTATACCTGTAGTATTTGAACCCTTGTCGTCATGACACACCACCTGCCCTGTAATCTGTTCTTGGATGCCCTAAAGGTTGTGTTTATTTATAGTGGTTGCACGTCACTGTTGTGACTAAGGGACAGTTAATGTTAGGATTGTGTCTGGTTGCCGGTGTCTTTTGTTATCCTTAATGACACCCAGTGTGGCTTAATGACCACAATGTGTTATGTATAAACCACAATTGTTACATAAATCTTGAACATTGACACATTTACTTCCTTTAAAAAGGCAAATTACAACTCTCAGTTTCACTTTAACCAAATTAATATGCATTGATTATTTTCCTTCCTTGCCTGAAGTGTAGTTCAAAACGTATAGTCCAGTGGTTTTGGAGTAGTGTTTTCCTTAACAAATGTATGCATAGACTCAACAATAATAATCCCCCCCCAGTCATCACTCATACCCAGTAGTGTGTGTGTTGGTTGTCTATCTGAGGGGGACCCTGCCCTCTGCCCTGGATTTTCCCTTTTTTCCTAATTCTGCTGGGTTTGGGCTGTTCCTGTTTCTCTGCCCCTGCCCCACCCCGGGGCTCTGTTCTGCGCTGACACTGTAATCGGTTGTCGTCTGAGTCTGAGGCTCAGGAAATATCCTCCTGTCTGGACTCAAACATTTCCATTAACTGGCTAACTGAAGCCCCCTTAATCTCGCCGGTGTAGAGTCGGACCCCATAGAGGAGGGGACAACTTTGTGTGTTTACATACGGGCAAATCTTACTCATTGTGCGTTTAAACAATCCTACAATTTCTGTCACTGACAAACAATCATTAATTTTAGACCTTTTCAACTGTGAAAACGTGTCAATAAATAAACAAACAGGATTTATATCTGCTGAAAGCGTTTATTAATCAACATTTCTCATTAGGTATACAAGTTGTCATTATGCTTGTAAACCTTTTAAGCTCAGTGCGTCCTAGGATGATTAGGATTGCAATACTAATACTATGTACTGACAATGATGAGGGAATATGTCACAGTAATGTTCTTGGGAATTGATGTTGAATTGAGACAAAACTGAAACAAATCAAGGCTGGGGTTTATGCAGCGTTTCAGTTAGAAAAAACGGTTCCTGTCAAAGTGTCCCGGGAAGATTTCAATGTCCTTGACAAATGTGAGAAATTCCTGTCAGCTATTATTTTGGTTTAATATTGAAGTTAAGTTTTAACAGACAGATTTCCCCTCAGTTATAGGCCTACTGTATACATATTCTTAGATACATTAAACCCATGATAATTAATCCTAGTAACTGCTTTTGTGTATTTCAGAATTTTCTCGGGTGCTTGACGGGGCCAACAGAGATATTTTACATCATAGATACAAAATGGTCAGCATTAATAAATGCCCTTATTAATATCTCCCCCATTTCCTAACATCTTATTCTACCACTGCAAATGAAAATAAGTTTCTTCCTCAGAGCCGGTTACTCATTGCGGGACATTTAAAAGCCAAAAGTGTTTTTTCTTTTCTCCTGGGAGTAGTTTCCTCTGAAAGTACTACAAGTTCCCTTTAGTGTGTTTGTGCAGAGAAGTGTAGAGGTTTTCAGACTAGCACATTAATGCACTTTCCCCCTCCCTTGTCTGCATGCACTTTGTTTTTTATTAGCTATGGCTCAAGTTGGCATGATGTCAGGGGGCCATGGGAAGGTATAGCATAGTAGAAACCCTACAGAGCAAAAAACTGTCAGGTTGGTATCTCTAGGCTGCAGTTTTTGCTCTTCAGTAGGGCAGGTGTTTGATGACAAAGTGGCTTGAAGGAGGACATGTATTACCGCCAACTGCCCTCAAGAAACATAGATATTTCAATCCATAATTGTTCTTTTTTTTTTGCCAAGTCCTCTGCAATAAAAATGCTGAGTGCCACAGTGACGCGTCCTAAATCCCGGAAGTAAGTTAGCATTTTACCACTTCCGGTTCCTTCGGAAAAAAAAAATGTAATTTCTCAATAGGATTTTGGAAAATAGCTCGAAATAAGGTCTGTGGTTAACACAAATTGAAGAGACAGATCACATTTTGTTCAGCCGGATAATATCCACATGTCTACCCTACTTTTATAATTTTCGAATCATAAATCTTATCGAGAGATTTATGATCGATAGGTTTATGATTAGAAAATTATAAAAGTAGTGTAGTAGTATAAAATCCTATGGAGAAATTGCATTGGTCTTTGTCGAAGGAACCGGAAGGAGTTTGGGTTTTAGGACGCGTCACTGTGGCACTCTATTAGTCAATGTTTTAAACTGGAAAAGAAAAGTTGAATATGTCTACATTAATGGCTGGCCACGAGAAAAATGCTTCTTTCATTTCCTTCCTGCAGTGTTTCCCATTACAATCGTCAATTCAGTAAAGATGATTATTCAAGGATTTGTCCATGGAAGTTATTGTTATAGCAACAAACAGACTGTAGATAGACAGACAGCAGAGCTAACATATTATTAGCCAGTTTGGTATAACTGACAATATGACCTCATTAGAGATATGTTATACAACATAAATGTCAGCCAATAGGTAAAAAGAAGTTGCAGTAAAATAGTTTAAAATATAGCTTGAGATAAGATGTCTCTATTACATAGTTTGTCCAGATAAATCGACAGATAGAGAAATCTTTCAGAGAGAAACCGTGTATTTAAAATATTTAGCTTTTGTTATTTTTCACTTGTCACAGGTCCAGAATACCCAGGAAACCCCCTGAGAGTTGCCAAAGCAGACTCTGATAAGCACATTATTTTTAACTCAACCCTTCCTGACGTCTTTAACACAGACTGCAGGGTGTTGCTCTGTGTTTTAAAAACAGCTAAATTACAAAAGCTGGCAGAGAGCCCGTAGCTTTATGAGTTGATATAGAGTGAAAGATACACTGAGCAGGCGCCCTTCTGATCTCTTGGGGATTTCAGAAGCAAGCTGATATACGTTCATGAAGTGGAAACTTTCAAATGTCAGCCTGAAATATGATTGTATCCCTTATTCTGCATTTAAAAAAACTAACATGGATTGCTCTTACTTAAGTCAGTGATTACACATGTAGTTTATGCAGCGCAGGTATGCGTGACAAACTGTTTGCATGTTTGTGCTTGTGTCTGTCTGGACGTCTGCCTGCCTGTGCACATGATATATAACGTGAAGGCAAAATAAAACACCGACACGAAGCTGGAGACTGCTTTTACATTTAAACATTTTACTTCTTGAGTTCATTCAGAACTTTAACGTTTGTCTGTTCAATGCAACAATTTGCCGTCTGATCAGTATACGAAACACCAACTCAGAACTTTAAAAAAAGCAGACTGTGTGCCTAAATTACAACAACAACCTGGGGAAGTATACAGTGTTTAGAAAGCAAGGTCAGTCTGATCTGGGAGCTTCTCAGCATTACTATGATTCAGGGACTCGCACACTTGACCTTGCAATAACACCAACCGAAAGCTACATTTTCTAATGCAGCGTGTAAAGTATGTTCAGTGGAGATAAACTTTTATTATTAAAGCTCAGTAACAAAAACACCCAGAAGTCTGCTTGTAAATTGATACAAAAAAAAACATCAACAACTTACAAGCAAACTGCTGGTTTTGTCAAATAATGCTCACGTTTTAAGCATTATTTGACATATAAATCATCTCAATTGAGCATGTTTTGCTGAGGTAGAACAGGACTCAGAAATGACGGGTAACGGGTCAAAGCAGCAAAAGTCTAATCTCTCCGCAGCAGGTGTGTGTGATGACACAAGGGGAGACAAATGGAGGGAGGGGACCAAAGATTGACTGATGAGAGAAATGTAAAAGCATAATGAGCTAAGGAGGAAAATGGAAGAGGAGGGAGTGTGAGAACTCAAGCAGTGTGCGCGCGTGTGTGCGTGGGTGTGTGGGTGTGCGTGTGTGGGTGTGTGGGTGTGGGTGCGTGTGTGTGCTCTAATTACAATACTGTGTAAAAACTCCACTCCAGCTCGTTATGCTGTTTGTATTGTTATTGTGTTTATCAGTCCAAGATCCAAAGTGTGCATGTCTGCGCTTGCATAATGTCTCTCCAGTATCTTCTCTCTGAACGAATGCACACATGCATCCATCTCTGCATATGTCTGTGCGTCTCTGAACGCAGCATGTGTGTAAGTGTGTGTGGTTACAAGTCAGGGAGAGAGGGACAACAAGGGAGGGAGAGAGAGAGGGAGAATGAGAGAGGTTTGAGAGCTCAATGGGCAAACACTGTGTCCTGATGTGCTAGTGCATGCAACACCACGGGATTCTTTGAAGTTTGGGTAGAAGTTGCTGCTGCTGCTGCTGCTGAGTGTCTTACAGCTGCCTCAGGGTCTACTCGTCCTCATTTACCATCTCTCAAGGTAATGTATGTGAAGCATGGGAGTTGGGATAAAAACCTAATGGTGTCTTCATTTTGCTTTTTTTGTATTTACTTTTGTCTGCCTGGAGACAATTTATTTGAAGATTAAATAGAGTTTACTAAGATATGAGATGGCTCAAAAGAGTCTACCTTTTTTTATTTGGTTTGTTTTATTATCAGTCATTGGTATTTTTCTCACGCGTCCTATTTCAGTTTATCTGTGTTTGAATCTGGATGTTATCATCATCCTACGCAGCTTATTCTTTATTAAAGTCTTCTTGGTTGAACGCTAAAGGATAATGATTTTGTTATATTACTAGTGGCTTTAAAGTTTCCACCACAGTATCATTTTGTAATTTTGTTGTGTTTTCTTATATAACGGGGGCAAGGGGAAAAAACAGTTTTCAAACTTAATTGGAGTGTTACTTCTTCACTCAGTGTTTTCAGACTTTGATCAAGTGTTTCTGCGGGTCAGATCAAGCTGTTCACCATTTTTCTCTACCTTCTATTGAAAGGTTTGACAGCTGATACGTTGAGGGCTTTGTGAATGATTGTAAGTGAAAAACGTATAGTCATTCAAGTAAATTGATTACATTTGCAATGTATCCCTACGTTTCCTTAAAGATTCTACCTTTTGAGTAGAGATTGTCTGTCATTGTCGGTCAAGTTTAATATCAGCCAGGTGGAGCGTACTTGGTTTTAATCATTCTTTGTATATTTAAATTCAGTAATTGTTGTAATGAATAACTTGCTCTCATCAGGAAATAAGAGTACAAGTGTGTGAGGAGAGAGGATCTTGGTTGCTGCGTATTCAGATGTTAGTGGAGAGTGAATTTTGTGCCGGACACTCGTTCTTAATTAAGATAATGGCGTTCCGTTTAAATGATGTCTACCTACATTCAGGCATTCATTAGTAATTGAGCTAACACTGTAAACTAAACTAAATCACTCTTAAACTAAATAGCTCTCAGTTTGACCCATTACTCACGTGAGCAATTTAGAGTCTATTTTGAGCATGTGTGAACTTTGTACTGAAAAAGGAATGTCTAAGTGTGGTTTGTTTTTGTTAAATTAAAAGGTAATTGTGTCCATGCCTAGCTGTTCTTACACAAATGAGAACCAAAGTAAAGATGAAAAACTAAAAATGTTTGAAAAGATCATTTAGTAATTATAATTGATCATTTAATTAAGGAACCGAGTTAAACATACTGCATTTATCTTATATCTTTTACAGATATACACAATTGTGTCACTTAAGACACGTAAAATAAGATGTGCGTTTGAAATAGCATCCATGTCTAATTGTACGCATACTTCTGTCAAACATATGCATTTTAGATATTCTTGTTTTAATGTATTATATAAATGTTCTATGATAGTTTTCAAGCCTTGAGGTAAAATTATAAATATTGATTATGTATAATAATCTGTTGTCCACTTAGAGCATTTTGCAGGGACAACCTGTTGAGCAAAAACTTTAATATGTGACTGATGTCAGATCTTTTTGCTCTAATCATTTATATTGCTTTGGTATCAACAACAAAACAATACAAAACAATCAAATAGAACTTCTTCTTTTCTGACTTTTAAGATTTTCTCTTGTGTTTTTTGCCTTCCTGCCGGTGCACGTGTTTATAATGTGCGTATAGCCTTAAGTATTCCAGCTTTGATGAGATAAGCATGGAAACAGGTTATGCAACTGAGTCAGCATGAAACTAGAAACTTAGAAAGAAAAAAATAAGAAAATCAGCACGTCTCAGCACAATCAACTCGATTTACACCATTCTTTTTTAGGACATTCAAATATATTCCCATCTCTCACTTTACCTAAATAAACGGGCGGTAAATCTGGATACTGTATGTTATCGTCAAATCTCAGACGCATTCTATAGTAAAGTTAATGTGAGCTGATTACCTTTTTCTTCATGTAACTTATATGTGTCTTTTCCCCGTGTGTTGCAGTTTGCCCCATCACTGAGTGTCTCAGAGGACGAACAGTTTGTGGAGAAGATCCAAGACTCTTGTAACTTTTCTGCTGTCCACACCCTGTTCAAACACATCTCTCCTCTCGTGTCCGTCCTGGTATTCTTTCTTGCTCAACAGACTCATTTCAGTTCTCTCCCACACGCGTGACTCCCCCAATCTGGCCCCATTCTCTTAATTCTTAGTGTATATTTGAGCTGTTTTTTTACCTGCCCTTTCACAATCCTGCTCATTTAGTCACCACAGCATCCCTGCACCATTCCCTCACCCTCCTCACCCCTCTGTTCCCCTGATGGGCGCCACATCAGACAGCAGCGCCACATTCCCTTCATCGTCACTGAGAACCTCCCTCCACCCCTAACCACCTCGCCATAACCACCACCAACACAACCCAATGGAGAAACAAGACATGATGCTGACGAACATGTTGAATATGGACAAAGGGGAGAAAGGGAGAGCGGAGGGGCCGGGGGATGAAGAGGAGGGGACACAGCAGGAGAATGGCAGACTGACGTTGGATGACGGTCTCTCAGAGAAAGGAACCAAGAGTTTGAGCTCCGGCTCTGGACAGCAGGTGTCCAATGGCTTCAACACATCCACGCCTCAGAGCCCCAAAGAGGGGCCGGGGGGCGCAGCCTGCTCCGGGGGGACGGCCTCCGCGTCTGGGTCAGGCCCCGGGGCCACGGTGCCGCCGGGGGGCCTCAGGACTCTGGTGGTCCAACAGACCAGCTTGGAGAGGCCCAGAGAAACCTGGAGCAAGAAGATGGACTTCCTGCTCTCTGTGATCGGCTACGCTGTGGACCTGGGGAACGTCTGGCGCTTCCCTTACATCTGCTACCAAAACGGAGGAGGTGAGGAGGCAAAAGATGTTTGGCATTGGACGGGGAAGATAAGGAGAGGGGTGGAGATTAGGAGAACTTGGCTTGAGTAAGCACACTTTTAGAAAGAACAGAAGCGTTCCTGCTTGATATACCATATGTAAAATAAGATACAGTAGGTAGCAGATGAAGTAAGTCCATTTTCTAAAGTAACTTTTACCATCATTAAAGGTGGAGGGGGACGCAGACTATATCTGTTGTGATACGATAAACTGTATTGCCTTCGTAAGGAACATTTTTTTCGACTCTTTCTTGCAGTTCCACAAAAGATAAAAAATCATAAATACTACTTAGTGCACGATAAAAGAATAGATAAATGTACATATACACGTCGTATATATACAGACAACATACTGACGATAACGACCTATTGCAGGAATGAGTGTCGGACCCTGAATCTCGTACCATAACTAATGAGCTGGAACTCCATGTTTTGTGCTCATAAATGTTTTTGCGGGATTCATTTTTTTAACCCTCTTAATTTAGAATATCAGGTGAGCCATCTTAGAACATTATAATTTTCTCTAAAACAAACGGCTGAAGAAAAAGGGTGTAGACTATAAGAAGTGCTGCAGTTACCATAGTTGTTTATGAGAAGCGCTTGATTCAGCTCATCTTGCACAATCTAAGGCACAAAGAGGTAAGCTTACGTTCCTCACAAAGCCTGTGTGGTCCGCCTGAGCTCTGGAACTACACAATCCTCACTTTGCAGCAAACAGGGCCTCCCTTTCCACTTTTATTGAATATGCAATAATAAAATCTTTGCAATTTCCTGTCTGTGTGTGTGTCTCACGGAGCGAGGTAGAGATGGCGACTGGGAGACACTTGATAGAGGCAACAGTATTAATTGTGGTTTTTATGAGAACGCCTTCACTGCCTTTCTCCTTGCTTAATAACCTGTCTCCCAGGCAGCTGCTCAATCAACCCTTATCTTTGCTCTGCTTTGACACACACCGCCCCGCATACACAAATGCACACATGCACATTAAAATAAGTTGATGAAGAAAGAGATGTGTTATCAAACTCTGCACGTTAGGTTGTAGAGTTCACAGATTTCCCTGCCATCCTGCTGCTTTTCAGTGTGTGGCCTTCCTCTTCTCCCTCCATCATGTGTATACTTTCCTCTGTTAGCAGCCAACATTGCACTAGTCCTAATTTATCATTATAGAATTGAAACAAAACGACCCTCTTACTGTGTCTTTCCACATCACATTAAATGGAGAGTTATGAAACTGGGCAAGCACACATTGCAGATTTTGAATGACCACGGTTATACTTACAATATTTATTGTTTTTAACAGAGTGCTTTTTAATGTCATTGTAGATTGGGAGTTATTTAGAGGCCTAAGGAGATTACAGATGGAGTGTGAACCAGAAGTGTTTCTCCGGAGTGTGATAGACTTTTAACTGTCCATCCATAACTCTTTATTTCTTCCCATTATTTCCCTCTCACTTTCCCGAATGTTTTCTTTATTTCTGTTCTCCCTCTTTGCATATTTGTTTTATCTTAAACCCCCTTTTCCAACCCTTAATCTCCCGCTCTCATCCCCAATGCTTTCCATTTCTTGCCTCCCCCCCCCCCCCAGGTGCCTTTTTGCTGCCCTACCTGTTGATGGCGATATTTGGAGGCGTCCCTCTCTTCTACATGGAGCTGGCTCTCGGCCAGTTCCACCGCAGCGGCTGCATCTCCATCTGGAAACACATCTGCCCCATCTTCAAAGGTAACAGTAGGAGAGGAGAGAAAACAGAACAGTTAGAGGAATGAGTTAAAAGCAATAGCTTGGATTGAAAGGGAGGAGAGTAGCTCCTACAAACAGGAACATTGGCAGTAGGAGAACAAAAAAAGGGAAAACGTCCAGCCGTCAGAGCCTGAGAGACGGTTCATTTAACCTCCTCCACCCCGTCAGTACAGTTCCCTTGAAGAGCATCTCCAGTGGACTCTCTGTTATGGTAATTGTCACATTTCCATGCCAAATGCCAGATGCTCAGAAATGTGATAGTATGTTGGTTGTTGTTGTTCAGAAATGTCACCAACTCACCCAGTAGCAACTTGAATTAGCTTGGAAACACCACTGATGTCTCCTGAAGGAGTGAATGACTGGTGCCACACGAGACATGTTATCTTATATTTCTTCTAAATAAACATAAATGGGGATTTTATAATAAAGATTTTCAATTTTCTTCCACTCTCACAGGGATCGGCTTTGCCATCTGCATCATCGCCCTCTACGTCGCTTTCTACTACAACACCATCATGGCCTGGGCTCTGTATTATCTGCTGTCGTCGTTTCGGCCCACCCTGCCGTGGACCACCTGCTCCAACAGCTGGAACACAGCCAACTGCAACCTCTACATGTCCACTGACCACAATGTGTCCTGGTCCAACTCCTCCACCTCCCCTGCAGAGGAGTTCTATACGTAAGTACATGTAAGTCGGATGTAGATGCGTAGGGGGTGAGTTACGCAGGAGGGAGACGTCAAGGGAGAGAGGGAGGACGACTTCCAGAGAGCGATTACCGGTTCTGGTTCTGGTGTTTATGTTCACTTGCATAATTGGCTACCATCATTTCGTAATAAGAAACACTGATCTCATCTAAGATTGTTAGAAGTACAGGAAACATTAGTAACATACTCTGTGAAGAACAAGCTTTATTTGATAGAGTTTGGAGTTGACTCTGTCTATTAGATTTATGGGGGGAGAGCTCTATAAATAGCAGTCAATTTGATCTCCTCCCAGGGTAGACCGGGCCTTGACACAGGTGGTGGAGTGAAGCAGAGAAGCTGCATACACTCACATGACAGCAAAGATATAAAACAGATAAAGTGGTTTAGATATCATTCAGCTGAGATGATTATTGGATGATAGGAAAGCCTGCAAACCAATCCCAGTGAAATCATTGGAGGATAATCGAGAGGTTAGTGTCAAGGTGAAATATAACGATACTTGTCTTACTGCTTTAATGTGTGCTAACAGTTAACAAATATGTACGTTAAAAAGTAATACCTGCAGTTTTAGTAAGAACACAGTTGTGACACAAACATGTTTTTTTTTTAAGTTCTCCTTTTCCCTATTGTTGACTAGGAAACAATTTGTGCTCAAGATTTTACAACAAACCAGATTGTACTGGCCTTTCAGGTAAAAATAAATGTAAACTGATTATGTATATTACTCTAAGTGTTATTACTTCTTCAGCGTGCTGTTTCCACAGTAAGTTAAATCTCTCCCCCCACGCAAGTTACTTATTTATTTTACTGTAAAGTAAAACCTTAGCTGTGTCTTCCTGGCTCGGTCTTATCAGCTTCCCGCTCAGCCGTGTCTGCGTCGGACCGCTGGGACAGATTGAGAGTTTATCCGTAGTCGACTTTTCCTAATACAGGTTTTAGAGTAACAAATTCCGCAACTCAGTCTGGCGCCAGAATTTCCTGTTTTCGACATAAATCACGTCTCTGTTTTATCGTGCGAGCTCTGTGTGCTTAACCTGTGACCAGATGTTAACCTCGCTGCTCATTTCTGCCTCCTTCTTTTCTGCCTGGTAATTCTTGTTTCACTTTGGCTTGTGTAAACTGCTATGAAAGTCAGTCAAGGCTCTCGCGCACAGCTTTTATTGAGACTCCTTACGGTTTCCCTGAGGTGAACTTACATTACGACTCATTTCATCTGCAAGTATCATGTATGTGTGTATATTCATCTGGGCATTATCATCCTCATATTCAATATACTGTATTGTTGATTTAATACCCGTCCTATATTATCCCTTTCTGTCCTGTTGTTGACACCCTGCCCTTCAAAAACATATATTAATCTCCTCTTCTTTGTAACGGGTTTTTTTTTTCTTGCTGATCCATCTCCTTCCTTCCGTGCATTATCTCTTTCCTCTGCTTTCCAAATGTCCCAACATCTATTGACCCTATCTTTGTTTTTCTTCCTCTGTCTAATCTTCTCTGTTATTATTCTACACATTCTTCTTATACCTTCTCATCTTTGTCCTTCCCCTAATTTCTTCCATCTTTCCGTGTTTTTTTAATGACTCCCTTTGTCTCCTCTGATGTCGTCTCCCTACTGTATATTGAAATTGTCTTGTCTCCCCCTCTTCGTCCTCACCTCTCAATCCCAACATCCCCCCCTGCCTTGTTCCCCCCTCCAGTCGCCAGGTGCTGCAGGTCCACCGCTCCGAAGGTCTGCACCAGCTGGGCTCTGTCAGCTGGCAGCTGGCCCTCTGCCTGCTCTTCATCTTCACCATCGTCTACTTCAGCATCTGGAAAGGAGTCAAGACGTCTGGAAAGGTAACCGAAGGGGCGCCTGCCTGGCTAATGGGGGTGTCAGTTAGACTGGATGGATGGATGGATTGATGGAGCCAGAGATGCAGAGAAAAAGATGCTTGTTCTTCTATCATCTCTTAACTCACCCAGTATCCTTCATCATCATGGGTAGACAAGTTAGTTAGATAGACAGTCAACAAGCTATGAGTATGATTTACGCTGCTACGACTAGACATACAGTTCAAGTTTATAGACAGAAAAGTGAATAGTATTTCCTCCTTTCCTGCATCAGGTAGTTTGGGTGACTGCTACTTTTCCATACCTGGTCCTCCTGGTGCTGCTCGTCCGTGGGGCCACTCTGCCCGGGGCCTGGAGGGGCGTGGTCTTCTATCTCAAACCTGATTGGCAGAAACTGCTTAGCACAACAGTAAGTCAGTCGTTGCAGTCTAGCAAGGCTGTATTTGAAACTTTTGTGTTTGTACAAACTAACATTGTTGAACCTTTCACAATATGTCAGGTGTGGATTGATGCAGCGGCTCAGATTTTCTTCTCACTGGGTCCGGGGTTTGGCGTGCTCCTTGCTTTTGCCAGCTACAACCCATTTCACAACAACTGCTACAAGTGAGAACATCGCATAAAAAACAAATGTCTTTATATTTCACAATATAATGAAACCTATCTGTGTATCAAGCCAAATCCGCCTTTGGTGCTTTTCCTCATCCCTATATTACAGCTCTACAGACATCCTTTAAATATAATTATCAGAGCTTTTTTTATAGACACATTTCCAGAAACATGCATCTATACAGGTGGATCAATAACATTCCTATATCACAAAGTTTCCCGATGTCTATACAACTATAAAGAGGCTCAAAAAATAAGTATTAACGACGCTCTCCCGATCTCAAATTCTTGCCCTTAATATTTGTCCTTCTCAGAGATGCCTTGATCACCAGCTCTGTGAACTGTCTGACCAGCTTCCTGTCCGGCTTCGTCATCTTCACCGTGTTGGGCTACATGGCTGAGATGAGGCAGCAGGATGTGGGGAGTGTGGCCAAGGATGCTGGTAGGTACAAATGGGATGAATAAGTAACCTAGATTGAATTGATCAGAATTGTACATAGGACAAGCTTTGACTTATCATATCACGTTGACTAAAGCAGAATGATGCACACATTGGACAACAATGCAGCTGTAAGGATGAATCAGATTCACTTTTCCTTGCTCTCTGTTCCAGGTCCCAGTCTGCTATTCATCATTTACGCAGAAGCCATAGCAAACATGCCTGCTGCTACGTTCTTCTCCATCATCTTCTTCCTCATGATCATTATGTTGGGTCTGGACAGCACGGTTAGTTTGATCATTACTCATGTCAGTGCAAAACTGAGACACTCAAGTCAAATGTTTTGTGTTTCCTCACCTCTTTCCTTTCTACCTGATTCTTTAGTTGCACAGTGCCCGGCTCTTGTGTGTTCTCTCAGACCTACAAACAGACGCTTCATATTTGCCTTGTCGTACAGGTTAATGCCTCGTTCTGTTTGACTTGTGTTTACCCATTGTAGCCGTTGCTCCATAAAGGTTTTGGGTATTATTTGTCCTCTCTGTTGGATGTTGGATAACAGTCAGCGAAAACAATGCAATAGGACTTTCATATCGCTGTTGTGTGGCGATCTTGTCTCCATAAGCCTGTGTTTATCTGCGCTGAGGCAGCCAGCTGGAGAGACCCGCGCTGTTATCACCTCCTGATAATCAGGCTGGAATCAGCATCCAGGTTGCTATGCTCCTCCATTTTATGACTGAGGATATTACCGCACAATGTGGAGCTGTACGTGGATTCATGTCAGATAGGAGTTGTTTCTCTTCTTTTTCTTTGACTTCACTGTGCAAATAACAGTAATCTTGAATATGTTTCATCAGTGTGCTGTGGATTGCCAAAAGAGTGTCATACTCGTACTGGATTCATTACTTACTTGTTGTTTTTAAATCATTGCATGGACTGGCACCACATTACCTGTCTGAGTTGTTGCACCGCCATGCTCCAGCTATAGCATTGCGCTCAGCTCAGCAAAATATGTTGGTGGTTCCTCGGTGCAGGAAAAAAACCCGAGGTGACAGGGCTTTCAGTGTTGCAGCTCCCAGACTGTGGAACAGCCTCCCAGTACATATCCGGACTGCTGAGTCTATTGAACTTTTTAAATGTCAGCGAAAAAACTCACCTCTTTGCCCTGGCTTTTAATACTAGTTGAACATTACATTTTTACATTTGTATGTGTTTTTATATGTTTCTAGTTATTGTGCTTTTTATCATGTTTTAATTATTGTTTTATTATTGTACTCCCATTGTGTTATTTTATATTGTAGTTATTGCCTGTACAGCACTTTGGTCAACTGAGGTTGTTTTAAATGTGCTATATAAATAAATGAAAATTGAGATTGAGATTGAGATCAAACAGCTGATTAGTAACACATAATATTTAGATACAGTCAAATGTATCTAGATACTTATTTTCTCAATTGTTCGTTTTCCTCTTGCTTATTTCCGTCTCCCTCCCCTCCTTGCTGTACTCCTCTCTGCAGTTTGCGGGGTTGGAGGGGGTGATCACGGCGATGATCGATGAGTTCCCGCAGCTCCTGTCTAAGAGACGAGAGTGGTTTGTCCTCGGCCTGGTGTGCGTCTGCTTCCTCGGGGCCCTCTCCACACTCACATATGTAAGTTAAATGACCACATCACACACAAGCCACTTTCAAAATGTCACCTAATAAGCATCGAACAAATCTATCATAAATAAAACAGCTGTATTTTGATAATCGTCTACAAATTAAAACATTAATACAAGAATTGATTTAATGCCCGTCATTTCTCACACCCTCCCTTTCCATTAAAATATGTTATAGACCAATAAACTAGCTTATATTGATCAAACTTATCTAATTGTTACTGCTGTATTTTAACTAATGGACTGTAGTAGTCAGATTAAAGCAGTGGCTGAGCATAACTAAATTAATCTAGAACCCTAAATAACATCCCCTAATCATTTGTGAAGCCTCTTACATCATTTGTGAATAGCTTGACATAAGTTCATCCCTCTCTCTGTTCTCCCCTGCTGTCTCAGGGTGGAGCGTTTGTGGTGAAGCTGTTTGAGGAGTACGCTACGGGCCCCGCCGTCATCACCGTGGTGCTGCTCGAAGTCGTCGCCGTCTCCTGGTTCTACGGCAAGTCTGTGTGATTGTAGCAATGATGGGGTGGAGTTGCGACCTTATTGTGAATGACTGCATGAGTTAGTTGCATCGTGTGACACAATACTACGTTGCGGTTTATTTTTAATCACACATTGAGAGTGTTGTTGCAGATTTATTACGTTACTATAATCTTACCTCTTTGTCTTTTTAGTGTCTGTTTAGTTTCAGTCACCTAAAAGATGCCCTCCTGATTGTTGTGACTTGGTATTGACTCTGTGTTTGGGTTCCAGGTACCAACCGTTTCTGTAATGACATCCATCTCATGCTTGGTTTCTACCCGGGTTGTTTCTGGAGGATCTGCTGGGTGGCCATCTGCCCCTGCTTCCTGCTGGTGAGGCCCGTTTACAGTACTTACACATATATGTACAAACTCAGAAGGCCGCTAAGTTGAGTAAATGCCTAGAGGAGCAATTTGAATACTTATAAGCTTATATTATAGTTTCTCATATTATTTTCAGCTGTTTAATCCTTGTTATATCTGCTTGTGTTCCCGTTCCTGTGTGCAGTTCATCATCATCAGTTTCCTGGCCTTCCCTCCAGAGGTCAGGTTGTTCGACTACCACTTCCCTCCATGGACCACTGTCCTGGGCTACTGCATCGGGGTCTCTTCATTCATCTGTGTGCCTGCTTATATGGTCTTCTACTTGCTCAATGCCAAGGGAACATTCAAACAGGTACACCTTTCTTTTTCATTCACATTTGAAGTGTATCCTCCCTATGACTCCCCTCGTTCACATTGCTCTGTCCTTATCCCCACACGACCTTTCGCTCTCTTACTGACACCTCTCCAACAACAGGCAGTGCCTCTGTTCCTTTCCTTTGAACGCACCGTCAGGTTTTACCCTCTGCAGTGAGCACATGATTTGGGATCAGGATCAAAGGAGTGCTGAGGAGGCAGAGGCCAGAGATTAAAGCCAAGCCAAAGCCAAGAAACAATCCATTACAAATAAGAGTTTACACACACATGCATACATGTAGGGCATTACCTAATTACACAGACCAAACACTTACCTCTGACTCTTACGTCACACATCGGCATTCAACACCTGTGCTAGCCTTCACGTAGTCAGTTTTGAACATAAAAGCAAATCTAAAACAGACCAGATTTTTGTCATTAACAGGGCTTTAACAACAGAGCACGGTGCATGGCAAAATAAATAAGCATCATTAATACAAATGATCTTCGAAACCTATTCAAGATACAGGTTTGACAATTAAAGGTGGGGTAGGTAAGTTTGAGAAACCGGCTCGAGATACAAAAATCCAAAATCCATAAAAAGATGTCATCTGTGGAAGCCGTAGTACTGTAAAAAGCACGACCAACCATCTGAGCCGGCCCGGCTAAAATAACTGGATGGCCTACCTGCCTGTCAGCCTTCCATCTGTGCACAAACTTATCTCGTGCCCTCATTGGTCATGTGCGCGTTCGTGTGTGTTGGAGGAGGGGCTCTGTAAGGAAGCGGCAGATTTTTTTCCGGTTGTGTATTTTCAACTTCTAGCGATCTCGAGCTGGTTTCTCCAAAATTACCTACCGCACCTTTAAATTATATTGTTTCACTTTGAGCAAGTGACCTTTATTATTGTTTATGTGATACACCAACTTAACTTTCAGGTGTGTACTTGCTCTATGTATAGCTTGTAACATACATAATAAAGAACAATACAACATGTATTTGTTATAATCCTAATTAAAGTCTCATAGTCCTTTGTTAGCATTGACAGAAGGTAGGAGGACATCAAAGAGGCTTGTAGACAGACGTCCAGTATTGACACTGCTGCCAGGGCACACAATGCCACTGACACACACTGTTAACACACACTGTTAACACACAGGGGGCGTGTCTTTGTGTGCATGTGAGTGTGAAAGGACACTGTTAGTGTAACTCATGGGGACAGATGAGGCTGCGGGAGGTCAAAATGTGTGAGTGGC